AAATTCTTAACAAAACCATAAATTTTTAATATGTAATATTATATTATCAATTGGACGTCATACAGAACGAATAAAAACGGTTTTGTATATTTATTATAAATGGCGCAATTATTAAACATTAAGTTAATAAAATGAAAATAATAAAAGAATCTAACTTGTGAAATTTAAATACTCTTTGGTTGCTAAATTTCGATAAACACGAGACAGTTAAATGGTAAACCAAAATAACTTATTAAGAAGAATTGTGCAACTTTAGTTATAGTTTTTAGTATTTTAATTATAATAACAGTTTAAAAGCAATTTGTTTGTGTTTCTTTTGTTTTGTTTCATAAAAACAAATATTTGTTTAATTATAATTATACTATAAACAAAAGTTTACTAACATGCCAAAGTTGCACAATTTAAAGAATGAATTTATATAAATAAAACCAACTTTTTTATTTTTGTAAAAAAAATAATTATTAATGGTATATAACAGCATTTTAACCAACAAACAGGACAATTTATTCTGTTAGCAAAAAGTTTAAACCTGCGAACCTCAAATTTTATGAATTAAATTATTTTTGTTTTTTTAGAAAAAAAAAGAAAAAAATACACACTTTAAAAAAAACTACACACACCTATAAAATTATTACTGTACATGTATTTGGTTAGTTTGTATTTATAACACATTGTATATTTTTAATATAAATAAAATTGTGTTAGAAACTTTTTAAACCGATATTTTTTTGAAAATGTCAATTGTGGAAAAAGAAGCACAACACGAATCTATTACCTCGAATCAAAGCATAAATGCAGTTATTAATGATCACGTTGAAATACAACTGAAAAGTGTTATTCCCAAAGTGGACACAACCAAAGTTATTCCATCTATTACACCAAAAGAAAACAAAAATGAAGTTTCAATTAAACCTAAAGTCACTATTTTTTCAACACTAACATTATTGAGAGCCATTTCTTCAATTGCTGTTGTTGATTATCACTATTATGATTTGAGTTTTATCAAATTTAAACCATATTTCCCCTTTGGATTTCTGGCAGTTGATTTCTTTTTTATGCTTTCTGGATTTTTGGTTTCTTCATCCAATTTTCGGTCTAACGATTATTTCCTAATTGAAATAACTGAACAAATTATAATGTACCCATTTCATATGATTTGGACTTTCATTGTGTTTCTTTACAACAAATTGAAATTGTATACACCACAGAGTAACAACATTTTAATACAAAACAAATACAAATCCAACAAGCAATTAACACCAAAAGGCAACACAAATATTGCTAATATCTTTAATCCAATAACTTTTATGTTACATCGATTTATTCGACTCTTCCCAATGCAACTTTTTGGAACCTGTTTGTTAAGTGCGACATTTCTAACTGCAAATCACAACATCAGTGACCAAGACTTCAAGCACTTGTTTCTCTTGGGTACATTCTCTTATCCAAATAAAGAAAATCAGTTATTCTTCCCAATAAACCCACTGCAATGGACGATGATATACGAATATGCAAGTAGCTTATTGTACGCACTTCTTTTCAGACATTTGAACTTTTTTGTATTGTTGTTTCTAAATTACAAAGCTGGTCATATTTTATATGATTTCTCCATAGGAATTCATCACTATGGATACTGTAAAAGATTGCGTCAAAAACCAACTGGAATTGGGTATGGGTCGTATCACGATGAGTGTAGTACATATGTTGGCACGTTAAGAATGTTATATGGATTCTTGACTGGGATGGTCATCGAAATTGCACTTAGAAAGATCTCTCAATTGTATTATAAATATTACAACAAAAAATTGGAAATGCCTTTTGGGTCGTTCATTTCCATTTTAATTATCATTGCGGTGTATGGCGGATGGAATTATTTTGGATATTCATCACCAGAATTTCAAACAATTTCGTTGTTCGTTTTATTGCCAATTTGTTTGATTTGTGGAGCATTATGTGACTTAAAACTGGATTGGGTTAAAAAAGTTGCTCAGTTACTTGGAGATAATTCATATCCACTCTTTTTGACACATTGGAATTTTTGTTTATTATTTAAAGAATGGACAAATAAAAACAAAATGGCTGACAAATGGGTGTTTAATTACCATTTGAGATTGAAATTTATAGAGACTATGTTATTTTCTATTGGAGTGTTAAAATGTTATGATGTACACTTTAGAAAATTACTTAATTACATATTCTTCGGATGGAAAATACCAAAAAATAAAATATGCAAAATTGTGGTGTCCAAAATTAAAATATTTAAAAGTTTCAAAATACACAATAATTAAAAACAAATTATTTTTTTATTTATAACACAACATAAATATATGATTTTTTATTTGTTTGTCATTTTGTAAATAATTAACAAACTAATATGTTAATCAAAATAAAATGTTACAATTAATTCATTTAAATAAGTCAAACATGGTTCGGTAAAAATTACCTTTCAAAAAAAAAGACTGAAATATCATTTTTTTCGGCAAAATTGCTGTATGGTTAAGAAAGAAAAAATTAGTTACCCAAAAAATCGGGTTATTACGTAACAATTAAAATCTTCTCAAAATAGATGACAGTAAAAATAAATTTTTGGCAAAAAAATATAAATATTAAAATAAAATACTCGAAACCAAACAAACTATATATTATAAATTTTAAACTATTATTAATTTATTAATAATAATAACAAAATAATTCAAATTGAATTAAAATTTTAGTTTATTATTTTAAACTATAAAAATTACTTAAATTGAAAAATATTTTAGTTTTTATAAAACTATCAAATAATTATAAATTATATTAAATATCTGACATAGTTATGTTATAATGTATCTATATTATTATAAAAATATTCACAAATAATATATTTATATAAAATAATAATATTATAATATATATGAATATATAATATATATAATATATATATATTAAAATATATATAAGTTACAATAATTATAACAACAATAAATTATGATGTTAATCTTTATTTAAAAATTAAAGTTGATAGTTTAATACAATTTAAATAGAAGTTATTTTTTGAATAATATTTATGATTATTTAATTAATTAATATATTTTATTTGTTTATAGTTTATTTGACTTATTCAAAAATTATAACTTCAAGTTAATAATTAATTATTTTTTTATTTAATATTCGTTTTTTATTTTTATTAATTATATTAAAATATTATCATTAAAAATAGAAAAAACATTTCAATTATATATAATAAGTTATAGACAAGTAATTTTTCTACAAGTCAAATTATTTTAACTTGTAGATATTTAATGTATTTTTATATAATAAAACTTGATAAAATCATTTAAATGAACCCGTTTAATACAAAACATTTTATTAATAAAATTTTATTGACATGAAGTTATATTTTTGACTTGAATTATACATATTTAAATAAAAAATAAAAATCAATTAAACAAATGAATGTTATTAATGAATTGAATGTGTTGCCAAATGAAAAAGATTTCAGTTATGTATATGTTCGTGCAATCTACAAAGATGTCAACTTTTCTTTTTGCCTCCATCATCACAAATGGTTGTTAAGCGAAAATGAAAAAGACCATTCTTCATACAAAGATAATCGAAAAATTCACCATAATAATTATGTTTTCACTGATGAAGACCGTGCTATAATTGCTTTATTCAAAAAAGCGAACAACAAATCACACGAAATATTTTTATATTCAAAAGCCAACCCAACCATTAAAATTAACAAACATGATCTTTATGAAAGTTTCTTTAATGGGCCTGCTAAGATGCAAAAATACAAAACAAAATTTGATGATTTTGATCAAAAACACGGAAAAGAAAAAATGAACCAAGTCACTACTAAAAAGACCAATATGTATCTACTATTGTTTCTGATCAAACGAAAATATTTATTGAATCGGATACAGAAACTTTTAGTTCTACAAATACACCTATACCATCGACAAATTTAAATGAAATTAATAAAAATGACACTTTGAATAACGAAAGTGATGAGAGTGAAATTGACCAATTGTTGATGGATGAAATTTTGAGTGCTGAAAGATTCTTTGAAGAACATGAAAAACAGGTGCAGATTAGTACCGATAATAACGATGATGATGTTGAAGATGAACTATTAAATGCACATGAAATGTTCAAATGTGTACCAGAAAACACTAAAAATCAATTATTGGAAGAGTTATACACCTTTGAAGATGGAGCTTTTCTTGTATACAATAGAATCGATTATAAAGAAATTGATAGAGATGCAGTTTTAGAATCAATTAGAAGATTTTCTTATGATCATGACAACAATTTTGTAATAGAAAGATATATTGTAGCACTTGATTATTTATTTGGAAGAGCTAGTAATATCACCAATATTAAAACACTTAAATCTGTCAAAGTTATGCAAAGAAAAGTATGTGATTATGTTATGAATGGGGAGATTGTTAAAGCTCGCCTGCGTGCTGAACAAATACGAGCATTAAAACGATGTACATTGGTAAGTCACGCAACACTGAGTAGAGATTCACTCGAAAAAGCTAAAACGTTGGCATTAAGCTCGAGAACTGTTAACGCACAAATATTTAAAGCTAATGGATTAAAGAAAGAAAAACTTAAGGCTGAAAGTAGTGAATATAAATGTTTAGCAATTTCCATTGACTCAACAACGAAAAATGAACAAGAAATATTCTGTGTGATGTTGAGATTGGTCAAAGGAAGAAAGTGTTATTCAATGCCTATTATATTGAATCAATACAAAGGCCAAACAGATGCAAAAACACTTGCTAAATGGATCATTAGAAAAATTGAAAATTTGGGTTTGAACACTTATAGAATAGTGAATTGTACTACTGATGGAGCTGCTACTTGTGCTGGATTAGATGGCGGGATTACAGTTGAAATGAATAAATTGATCGGTGTATATGATCCAACGGAGCTTTCTTTGATAGATAGTGAAATGAAAAATTTTTGGTGTGCAGCTCACAGAGTAAATTTGATGGGAGAATCACTTGAAAATGATGTTGAGATCAAAATGGTAAAAGTCTTCGCACAATGGTTTTGTCGTAAAAACAGACTTGTAGATTATTGTGATAAATGTAGTATTGGTCATGGATTCCGCACAACTTACTCTGATACGAGGTGGTGTTACATATACAAAAATCTTGATGATATTACAAATAACTATGAAGATGTGAGTCGATATATAAAAATACCAGAAGTGCTTCAGAATCTTATGACCGAGTTTGAAAAAAATCACATTACATTCGTAGAAGGAAGAGTATTAAAAATTACACCTACGAAAAAGAAAAGTGTGTGTCACTCATGGGCAAGCTGAACAAAGTAATATTGTTGAAGAAACCAACACAGAAGATACATCAAAAGTTCTATTCAATATGGATGA